ACGAATGAGAGGGGTCGTTAACACCTCACTGGTTTTATAGCCACTGGGATAGTCGCTGATTGGTGGACCCACGGATCACACCGCTCTCACGAGAGTACAGGACAAGACCGGATTGGTGGAAAAAAGATCGTATGAGCATCACGAGTGGCATCACGAGAGGCAAGAGGAGGGGCTATAAAAGGCAGGCAAGACGTTCACCCAGAGTCAGTTCAGTCGAGGGATGGATCGTCAAGCCACTCAACCTGCGGCAGTGCCTTCGGGACGCAAACGACGTCGCGTGAGTAGTAAAAAACCCAAAGAAGAAGCGCCAGCCCTGGACCTGAAAGCCGCCCGTGAACTGGAGATGAAAGCCACCCGTGATCTGGAGATGACTCAGATCGGTTTGTCCCGACCTGAAGCCGAAGCCCTAGAGAAGGAAGTCCTTCAAGACCCGTCCAGTGAACTCTCGGTGGCTCTGAAGGCCCTCTCCCGAGCTGAACTCCTAGATAAGAAAGCCACTCAACCCCCGACTAGTCAACTCATGGTGGCTCTGAAGGCTCTGAAGGCTCTGCCCCGAGCGGAGGATCCACCCCCTACACCCTCTCCCATCAACGACCTGATGGAGGGCACCCTAAAAGAGTATGAAGAAGAATGTGTGGAGGAAGGGACGTTTCACTCGGATCCAGCGACGGAAGTGGGGGAATGGGAAGTCCTGGACCAGATGGACACCCAGTTCAACCAACTCCTGTATGAAGCATGCCCGTTTCATCCCCATCGATTCCTTGAATGCGTCAACCCCCAATCCAATTTTGGTCCCTTAAGATTCAAGTGTCCCCAAGAAGGGTGTCCGGTCTATTTGTTTGAAGACACGCGGGAGGTGATGATAGAGAAATTGAAAGAAGACACGCATCCTCAAGTCCATGCCCGAGTGAAATACGGAGAACTCAAGTGCCGATGTGGGTTTGTCCCCAAGATGAAATTGAGTCGCACCGCCAAAAATTACAACAAAGTGTTTTTCAGTTGTGGGAGCCTTCTCACCCATGCCAAACCCTGTGGCTACTTTCAATGGCTCCATGGCCCCATATGGCGTCCCCGTGAGCAAGCGCAACCGACCCTGAGACGATGGGTCAAGGATTGTCCTGTCCCTCTTTTGAAAGGAAAAGACCCCGAGAAGGAGAGACCCTGGGGAATGCACCATACAGAGATGCGCTATGGTGAGAGGCCAGATCCAACGATAGAAAAGATAAAGCATGATCCGTGGATGAAACAGTTTGGAGACTCTGTCCAAGCCCAGGAGCGAGAGTTTGAGAGAAGACGCCATTTGCATAAGAACTTTGGGAGCACGGGTTTGTTTTGAAAACATGTAGGTGTTTGTGAAAAAAACTATTAAAGACAGAATTTGGCTCGAATCCTGTGTCAGTGTCTTGATGTCGTTGCCACGCGCTTACGAAGATCCCCAAGAACCTGGGGCCTTGGGTGGGGTCCAACCCTTTGCCCAAGCCCATAAATTGAAAACCCCGCAAGCGCAACGGATTCTTCAATCCGTGTTGAGCTATACGCTCCACAAACCCCGACGGACACGGTTTCCCACCACGCCCACGTTGGTCTTTGGCCGAGACGAACAATGGCAGATGGATTTAGTGGATATGCAAAAACTCAGTCGGTGGAACAAAGGCAACAAATATTTGTTAACGGTCATCGACGTCTTGTCCAAGTATGCCTGGGCCGTGCCCATCAAATCGAAGAGTGCCACCGAAATGATCCGAGGGTTGGAAGCGATACGCCGACGAGCCTCGCCGCGACGACCTCTTCGTGTGCAGACGGATCAAGGCCAAGAATTTTTGAATCGAAAGGTCCAAGCCTGGTTCAAGAAACACGATTGGCATCATTTTTTCACGTATGGGGATAGCAAGGCCTCAGTGGTGGAACGATGGCATCGCACCTTGAAACAGCGCATGTACCGGTATTTCACTGCGCACAATACGTTACGGTACGTGGATGTGTTACAACCTTTGATTCATACATACAATCACGCCTATCATCGCAGTATTGGCCTAGCGCCGCATCAAGTTACCTTTAGAAACGAGTCCGAGGTATGGGATCGACTCTATGGATCACGGTTGAAGCAAATGATCCCCCGCCCAAATGTCGCGTGGGCGATCGGGTGCGTCTCAACAAGAAACATCGTCCTTTTAAAAAAGGGTATTTGCCAGGCTGGACGGAAGAAGTGTTTGTGGTCACGCACGTCCGTCGTCATCCCGTGGTGACCTATCGACTCAGTGAATGGGACGGCACGCCTATAAAAGGCACGTTTTACGAACCCGATGTCCAAAAAGTCCAAGTGTCAGACGACTCGTTATTTCGGGTCGAAAAAGTCTTGAAACGGAAAGGACGTCAGGTCTTGGTCCGGTGGAAAGGGTGGCCGGCCAAGTACGATAGTTGGATTCCCGCGCAACATGGTCCGCGTCAAAATAACGCCTCGAAAAAGAAAAAAGCGGGTCCGGTTTCTCGATGAAGTCCAAGCGGATTCCAGTCGACCTCGAGCCAGTTACACGCCACCTCCTACCACGGACGCGGACATTATGAACTTCATCCAGAAAAAAGCCGCCGAACAACGGCAAACCCAACCGTGGTGGGAAAAGTTGGCCAGTCCCACCAAGCAGCAATGGGCCTACGCCAATGCCTACCATCGAGCGGAGGAGTATGCCAAGAAACGAGGGGCCCTACGGTCCTCACCCAAGAAAAAACAACAACGTCGACGCGCCGGTCGTCATCCACCCATGCGCAAGAAGAAACCCCCTAAACAAAAGACCTGCATGACCCTGATGGAACTGGCCCGGGCCTTTCCCAACATTGCCCAGCAAGTGTGTTTTCATCCCAAACAATCGACCTTCAATTCGTTGGTGGGACGCGTCCCTCGCAGTAAACAGAAAGTGGACCAATGGCTATAAAAGGACCCTGCACCCTCTAGGACGCGCCTCTTCATCAGCATGAGTGAGATTAAACGCTTGACGCTTGTCAGTGATCCGACCGACGAGTTTCCCAACAATGCCAACAACAGTTTCAAGGTCCGTCTGCCCGAACGCCTTAGCTTACCGGGCGAGGGCTGGCATGCCTCGTTGATGTCCTTGACCGTGCCAGATCAAGGCCAAAGCAATGCCGTCATTGCCGCGGATCCTCACACCAAAGTCGTCAAATTTAGCCTCACGTACTTGACGCGTTTGTACATGTCGGGCTCCTATAGACGGGTCAGTTTTAAGACCAAGGATTATGGAGTGGAATTGGAAGATATTATGAGTGCCAAACAGTCTGTGACCACAGGCAGTGAGTTTTGGAAACGCGTGATGCAAGAAGTGCACAACAAGGTCATGCAGTCACTGATCAACGAACAAGAAGCTGCCTTGACCTTCAATGGGGATGAACGACCCCTAGTCAGTGTAAAAAAGAACTGGATGCCTAGGATGACCTGGAAAGACGATGTCTTAGTGCTACATGCCGTCCCTAAAGGAGACGTATTGAAAAGCGACAAGACCACAACGACAACCACCTTCATGATGGATCTGGGGATAGCGGAAAGGTTTGGTTTTGTTCAACAACTCCAAGGCGTGACGGGTCATGTGCTGGGTCCCAATCTCCAATTCACTTGCCCTACCGTGACCTACACAGACCAGACCCTGCCCAGCGGTTCATCCTTTCGCTCGCAGTACAACTGGAGTGGAGAGCATTATGTTGGGACGCAACCCTCAGATTTGACCAGTGACATAATGGATCAAGTGTTTGAGGTGAAAGGAAAACGGCTTCATCTGTCCAGGATGGTAGAATGGCAGTTCAACAACCTGAATGCTTCGTTTGAAAAGATCGTGGGAACCAGCAAACGCACCGTGATGGTGTACTCAGACATTGTGGAATCCACCGTGGTGGGCAGTGGCAAGTATCCCCTGTTGCGGGAAGTGCAATTGTTGAGAACTGGGGAAGGAGAAAGCACGGCGGAACCCCTGCACCATCAATGGATCAAAGTACGAGGCCAACAATTGGATATCTTGGAAGTGGAGATTGCCAGTACCAGTGGACCCCTGGCCATCTTACCCCCGGGCAAAACCCTGGTGACCATTGGTCTCAAACAACTATAAAAAGCCAACCACACCCGTTCAAGGGCCAAAAAAACACTTGACTCAAGATGCGCGGAGGCAGTTTAACGCGGTACCACACGCCCGTGCTCACCCAGCAAAAGGGTAAAGGCTTGGCGGAAGACTTGATCAAACTCGCGGGACCCCTGATCGTGCAGCAAGCTCAAGCGGGATTGCGAGATATTCAACGTGGCAAGAGTGCCGCGGACACGTGGGCGGATCGAAGTGCCCAACTCAGCCGCGGATTGAAACGCAAAGCCCCTGCCATGGCTTGGACGGCTGGCAAACACAAGGTCAAACGGACTGCCCAAAATACCTATAAAAGAGCCACGCAACGTGTACGGGATATCTTTGGACTGTAAAAAAATGGTACGTGTAGGAGGCTTTCTCAAATCGCAAAATCGCATTCGACGGCAACGTGCCCGTGGACGGTTCATTTCGCCGTATCAAGTAGGGGGCACGATCTTTGGCAAGTCGACTATGGCGCGTTATCCGTTGATGCACACGTCGTCTCGCCTATTGGATCCCATGGTCCTGAAACACATGAAACAACGCCGCAAGATGAAAGGGGGCACGATTTTTAGCGAGTCCACTCGCAGGCGGAACTATCCTTTCGGGTTCCCATCGACGTCGACCCGGATCAACCCCGAACCCTGGAGGGTGAAGCAGGCCCTGCGCCGTATGAAAGGAGGGGATCTCAGAAAAGTATTGTGGGCCAACCAAGCCAAAGCCAGGAAGCAGAGAGGGGGCAATATCTTCAGCAAGTTGAAAAAACGCATCCAAATCGATTTTCCTCACCGCCCCTTTCCCTCCGCGCATCCCATCCATGATTGGTACAGAATGCGAAAAGGTATAAAAAGAGGACGTCGTTGAACCATGTGAACAGACCGCAACATGTCGCTCAGTCTATTTGACGTGCCTGATGTGGATTATCGGTACGAAGCCTCTCGGGAGGTGGAGTTTCAACCTGCCCTGACAGGCATCCAGCCCATCACCTTCTCCATCCCAGGCTCCGACGATTATTACGATACCAATTCTCTCCGATTCAAAGTCAAAGTGCGCCTGACCGATCCAGCGGATGGGTACAATGGGTTGGTGGCCAATTTGGCCAACTCCGATGCCAACAATTCCAGAAACGCCTACTGCGTCAACAATTTCGGTCACACCATCTTTCGAGATATCACCATGAGCATGAATGGCGTCCTCATGACAGAACAGAGCAACACCTACCATTACAGAGCCTACATAGAAACCCTGCTGAATTACAACCGAGAAGAAGGAGCCACCAAGTTAGCCCCACAAGGATGGGTCAATCAGCTCAATGTGATTCCAGTCATGGGAGCCACAGGAGCCAATTCGGATGTCCCCACCAATGCCAATTGGAGTGGCAATACAGACTTGCGAGCCCTAACCAGCCGGTTGCTAGGTCAACATTGGCACACCTTCATCATTCGTCCCCATTTGCCACCCCTCAAGACAGGCAAATTGTTGGTCCCCAATGTCCAGATGGACTTTGAACTCTTCCTCAACCCCAACACTGTCTACCTGATGGGCACCCCAAACAAAGGCACCTTGAATGACAAGAAATTTCCAGCCATCCACAATGACGACATCAAAGTCACCTTGCTGATGAGAAAAGTGACCCTGAATGCCAGCGTCTATGTCAGACTGCAGAAAGAAAGACAGCTGGGCAAACAGATTGCCCGCTACCCTGTCGTGCGGAGCGAAATTCGCACGTTTTCCTTTGATGGACGCACTACCCAGTGGGAACAAGACAATGTGTTTGTGGGTCGATTTCCTGATCGAGTGATTGTCGGGTTATTGCATTCCAACACCTTCAATGGAGACCACACAAGATACCCTTTTGCCTTTCAAAAGTTTGGTGTCACCCAAGTACGACAGACCTTGAATGGAGAAGAATACCCTTACAGAACCCTGCAATTGACTGGAGACCAAGCCTATGAAGATCTACTGGGCTACGATCGATTTCTACAAGCCATGGGTGCCTACAATGAAGATAAGATCCCCATGCTGCTGCCTGGTGATTGGGGACAAGGCAAGAACTGCACGTTGTTCATGTTCAACAATGTGCCCAGTGGAAAAGCAGATGACCCCCAGTACCGCAACCCCCGTCAATCGGGTAATACGCGACTGGTGATTGATTTTTCTGCTGCCGTGGGTCATAACATCACCGTGTTGGTGTGGAGCGAGTATGAAAACATGTACGAGATCAATCATCTAGGAGGTATAAAGTACAACATCAACGGATGAGATTGCCTCAGAAGTCAAAAGACATCGGTCATGGAGTTTGTGGCGCTCAGTGATACTGTGTTGCGGACCCTAGCCCTGGAGGACCCCGAATTACGACGCGTGTTTCACGGCGTGTACCCAGCCGACCAACTCCCCCGATCCCCCGCCATGGGTGTCCGTCAAGCCTACATTGTCAACACGGATCCAGCAGGAGAACCGGGACAGCATTGGTTGGGTCTGTGGACGGAAAAGAACCAGTGCGAGATCTTTGACAGTTATGGGCTACCCCTGCACGTGTACACCAACCCGGAGTTGCACCAATGGTGGGGTCGATGGAAGTACCTGACGCGCAGTGACCAGACCCTGCAAGCCCTGGATAGTCAAACCTGTGGCCATTATGCTTTATTTTTCTTGAAAGCCCGTGCGCAAGGACGGTCGTATCAAGAATTTTTAAGTCAATGGAGTTGCGACAATTTAGTGTTGAATGATCAAAAAGTGGCCGAGCAGTTGAAACGGGTGATTAAACAGGAATTACAAGATGAAGTGGATGCCCGCCGACCTGAAGGGGGGCAAAAGAATGTGAGCCGCCAGGCCTTTATCACTTGTAATCATTGTGAGTGTTGACATTAAAAAACCCATAAAACCGACACGTTTTGTGCAGGAGTGGTCATTGTCTCTCATCATGATCACGCGAGCCGATGTCCAGCGTGTGGTAGATGCGTTCATTGTCGAAGAAACCTTGTATTGGTGGGAACACCCCATCGAGCGGGTCAACACGGTCCAAGGCATCGATGCCTGGGATGGGTATCATTGGTTAGTGGCTCGACAATTGGCGCAAGACCAAGACTGGGTCTCCCTCAAGCACTATATGGACAGCATCGGTGAAACGTATTTAAGAGAAACCATGGAACGATTGATTCAGTCCGAGTCCCCCCGCTTATACCGCGAATATTGGACGGTATGCCCAGACGGCGACGACGACAGCGCGCCTCCACCCGACGACCCCGCTTTCGCCAAAATGGGCGAGGTATCATGAGCGTGTTGGCCAAAGCGTATAAAATTGGTGATCAATTGGGACGCGACAAACGGTATAAACGCATGGGCGCTAAAGGGGCCACCGGTCATTATCGACGTCACCCTCGACCGTGGGAATCATGATCCGACAACCTAGGAGTGTGATCATCGCGGGCCCATCGGGCAGTGGTAAGAGCGAATTGGTGGAACAATGGTTACGGTACCTCAACGTCTTTCAAGTCAAACCCCGCAAGATTGTCTATGCCTATGATCGATGGCAACCCCGATTCGATCGTATGCAAAAAAAGGATGGGATTCAGTTTCATCGCGGGTTACCGGACCCCCGTCATTTGACGCAATGGTTTGGTCGAACACGCGGCGGGGTGCTGGTCTTGGACGACCTGATGGAAGAAGGGGGACAAGACAAGCGCGTGTTGGATTTGTTCACCAAAGATTCGCATCATCGTAACATCACGGTGTTGTATTTGACGCAAGATTTATTCCCGCCTGGCAAATTTTCCAAGACCATCAATCGCAACGCGCATTACATTGTGGCGTTCAAAAACCCCCGGGATCAAACAGGTATACGGACGATTTTATTGCAAGCCTTTCCGGATCGATGGCGTCAAGTCTTGCGCCTATTTAAACGCATCACCTCCCGCCCCTTTGGCTATTTGATGTTGGATGTACATCCGGCGTCGGATGATCGCTACCGCCTGTGGAGTCATTTAACGCCACGAGAAGGCAAGGCGCAAGTCCACACCTTGCGTGCGGATGTCCCTGCCGTTCGAAAACGAACTGCAACGAGAACTCGCCAGGGTCCGTCGACAAAGAGAAGGCGGACAACATACTGAGTTAGCGACTCGCATGGACACACCGACCCTCTCGCCCGCGGGGGTAGGTTCCCCGTCGGTCCTCCGAGATCTCAGCAGCATGACGGACATGGTGACCGAATTGTCTCGACCTGTGGATCGTGCCCAATTGGATCAAGAGATTGACGATTTCAATTTGACCTACCCAGTCAATGTAAACGATGCCTTGAATGCGTTCACGCTACCGCCCGTGGCGGGCACTGGCACTGCCCCCACCACCACAGCACCGCCACCACCCCCCATCACCACCGCCCCCATCACCACCACGGCCACTCAAACCCGTCCCACCACATCGACCCGAACACGCCCCACCACCACCACCACCAGTCGACCACGACCCGTCACATCCACCCGAACACGCCCTGCCACCACCGCCACGACCACCACCGCACCTTCCCGCCCCTCCACCAGCCGCCGCAGCGCTGGGGCAGGGACCAGGACCACTACCTCCACGGTGACGACCCCCACTGGACGTCCTACCATTGCTGCCAAACAACCACGACGACGCCCCCGGGTGCCCTCCCCACCGTCCCCCGATTCGTCCCCTCCGTCCGATGACGAGGATGGCGATGATGACGATGACGATCGACGGCGAGGATTAAGGCGACGGTTGGATTTGCTCAATGAAGATGCTCAAGAACGGGCTCGAGGTAGACGGATTCGCAACATCACGCACACCAATACAGTCACCACGGTCTATGAAGAGGGTGGTCGTCCCTCGGTGCGCCGCACGTCCACCCGCACGTCCAGCCCAAGTCCACCCCGACCGCCACGCCGAGGACGGGGCCGTGGCCGTGGCCGAGCACGCGGACGGGGCCGAGCCCGTGGACGAGGTCGTAGTATATAAAAACAGGGACCTTTCTTCCACCGTCCAGTACCCATGTGTAACGAATGTCAAAACACGATGGCCCCTAGACGGAAACGCCAACGCAGGACGACACGACGTCGACCGCCCGCCAAACGATCACGACGCCATGGTCAAGTGGGGGGTGTCGCGGTCAGCCTGCCTATGGGGATTCTCAAAGCTGGTTATGGGATCACCAAAGCCATCGGGGATCATCAAACCAAGCGTGCCATCGCCATTGGTGAAAAACGTCGACGGGAAGTGGCCTCCGGCAAGCGGAAAAAATATGCGGGGGAATCCTTTAATTGTTCCATCATGTAAAAAACTATAAAAGACCAAAGGTGCGTCCTCCATCGAACAGATCATTATCATGCATTGCGGTCCACGACAACGACGAAAAAGACGCCGAAAACAACAAGGGGGTATTCTCCCGCTCCTCATCCCCGCGGCTGTTGCTGCAGCCGTCCTCATGAAGCGCAAGAAAAAAAAGAAAGTGGGTAAGATCAGTGCAGCGCAAATGGCAGCCAATCAACGACGGGTCCAGCGGATGTTTACTCGAATGCCGGGTTGGGGTGGGTTCAAAACGCTAAAAAGACTATAAAAGAAACGCCTGTTGGACACAAGACTCTCATTGAAGATGGTCCGTGGACCCAACGTACGCCGACATCGTTATGTCCCTCGAATACGACGCCGACGACGTGGCTCGCAGCGCGGCGCTAGGTTACCGCTTTTGGCAATGGCTCTCTCGCCTTTGTGGCTCAGGAAATACAAACCCAGAGTCCGCCTTCGACGCCCGGACTAACCGACGCCCTAAACGAAAAGCCGTTACGTTTGCTTTGGATTGGGACGACCAGTATGAAGCCGCCTTGTGTTCACGGTGTCGAGATCACATGCAACGGCATTATCATGGTGAATTGTGTGGTCGGTGTGGCGCCATTTTTACCATAAATAGACCTTGGTCTTTGCCTGAACTCAAGATTCATCATGGGGTGGCGCATGGAACGTCAAGCCCCGTTCTTAAAAAGTGTCTTACAAGAAGCCAATCAACACAAACGCCAAGAATTGTTGCGGATGGCCAATGCGGATCAAATCAATGTCATCAGTGAATTGGTGATGAACACTCTCCGTGGCACGGTACCCCGTTCCCGACAGACCATCACATTGCTCAAACCTCATGCCCAGAGTTTACGCGCTATGGCCAAACCCGCCCATTCTGTCAAACGACGACGCGCCATCATGATGGCTCAAAAAGGAGGTGCCCTCTGGCCGGAACTCTACCGATGTTATAAACGTTGCATGCGCTAGACCAGACCCCTCAGTTGCACCATGGAACCCGAGATGGTGAGCACCACGGTGGACAACGCCCCGGCATTTTTACAATTACGAGACCAGTACAAACAAGAATTGGTGGAAGATACCCGTTTGACTAAAGCGGCCGATTTAGCGGCCAAACAACATGTGCTGTTGACCAGCGATGCCCCCGATGCTTGGAAACGGCCTCAACTCAAAGCCGTGAGCCGTCAATTACGCCATTGGACCAAAAAAGTGCGCCAACCGTTTGGAGCCGCCGCTGGAGGTGTGAGTGCCGCAGGAGCCACGACCCCGGGCGACGATGATTTTGAGGCGGGCCCGATGCAAGCCTGGTTCACGCAATTGGTCAAGGCCACCCAGGGTATAAAACAAGGCACCCCGACTCGTGGACCCAGAAAACCCCCTGTCCCGCCTAAACCGAAGATCACCCCCAGTGCCAAAAAGAAACTCAAGTTCACCACCCCGTTGAGTAGTGAAGAATTGGCGCACGAGTTGCCCTTTTCAGACAAGATCGGAGTACAACCGTGGGATACCCCCCAAGAACGTGCGGACACCATCAAGAGAACGGTCACACGTGATATTCGCAAAAAAACCACGGACGCCGCCAAAAAGAAAGCCGCAAGTATCGCCAAAAAGAAAGCCGCTGGTTGGGCCAAGAAAGCCTTGGATTGGAAAACGTGGAAAACCCCCTAACATGGGACGCAAACGCCGTGCAGCGACCCGATCCCGAGCGAGGCGACGACGACGTTCGCAACGTGGCGGCAAGTTATTTGATGTACAAAACCTTCTCAACAAGACCGGCATTGAATTTCATTGGCCCGGTTATCAGTATATGGGCCCTGGTACTCATTTAAAGAAACGATTGGCCCGTGGGGATCCCGGCATCAACCGGTTGGACAGGATTGCTAAAGCGCATGACATCGACTATGATAAAGCCAAGACTTTGAAAGATAAATGGGCGGCAGATCGCAAGATGATTGCCAAGATTGATCAACTCCCTGGCAGTAAAAACTTGACAGAACGTATTGTTAGACGCATTATGAAAGCCAAACTCCGATTGGGCATGTAAACCCCCTTAGTCATAAACAAGACAACGTTGTTCCATCACACATGTTTTAATTAAACTTCATTTTTTTGTTCTTACAAATACAAGTCCATTTGCTGCAATGCCTCGGCGCGAAGGATCTGCACCCTGTCCTCCTTCTCTTCAGGTTCGGTTTCGGCCCAATCCAAAGGCAGCCACGGTAAGGGAAAGGGACGCTCTAAGGCCTCGTCCAACCAGGACCATTCTCGACGTCGAATCGACTCCACCCGCTTCTCGTATCTCTCTTTCTGTAGCGCTTGCCACCCTTCCTCGCCCAACACACGCTTTTTCTCGGCCGCGATCTCCCGCCGCCGCGCATTCAATCGCTGCTTGTAGGCCTCGTACAACCCCTTGTCTTTCATTTTCTGCATCCAGTTACGTTGGCACTGGGCGTTTTTGCGTTTGACCTCACTTTGCTGTTCCTCTGTCATACCATGGTAACGTCGCATCCCCTCTTCGGTCTTTTTGGCCTTGAAGGCCTCGTACTCCCCATTGGCTTTCATACGAGCCATGCGTTCATGGTAGCGACGACGATGCATGGCTTTCACGTCCTCAATCCCATTCACGGCCATGTTCAAGCTCTGCCGATACCGTTTTTGTTGTTGCTTGTTTTTTTCAGGGTCCCGTTTTCTTTTCTTGGGGGGCTGGCGCGATCTTGGCAAATCCATGCTCTAATTCCAACACTCGGGCCGCACACACGTCCGCCAACGCCTGTAACTTTCGAAAGGGATTAGGCGTCTGTCTGTTCCGGGCACGACGGTCCCGTTGCTGTTGCACAATCTTATCACGGTGTTGACGATAATACTTGCGGTTCAGCGCACGCACTTGGGCTAAATGGCCAGCTCGGTACCGGTTACAGGCCAACCGATTCAACTCTCGGGCTCTGGCAATCTCCTCTGGGGTCGGGGGCGGTTTGGGTGGTTTGGGCGGTTTGAGCTTTTTCTGAGCCGCCCGCTGCTCACGTTTCCGTGCCGCAATCTCCTCCCTGTGTTTCAGGTACCACCTGTGTTTAGCTTCTTTCACCTTCTCAGGATCTCGATTGGGCATTCTCGAACACAACTGACGTCTGGTCTGGACGATGGCCTATATCTAGAAATCTCTCCGCCAATCAGCGATCTCGCTCCAGGCTCAGAGGAGACTGGAGAAATCTGGCACCCCCCTCAATCCTCCTTCTGTCTAATCAACCCCCTCACTTGACTCTCACCTGACTCTCACCTGAGTCCTATCCACCAATCCCCGTTCGTGTGATCACGTGTTTTTGGGTCTATAAAAGCCAGCGTCTGGCGCGGGAACATTCAAATTGTCTCCTCCGTCATGGCGGAGGACCCCTGGTATCCTGACAGTGATGAGGAGGATGCTCTGTTGAACCGCGCTTATGACCGGTGGGAACAGTTAGGAGGGGCCGCTCCCGCCCGAGGCCCTCTCTTTCAATTTACTATGCAACCTATAGGTCGACGACGCCGCTGGCGGAATGTGGTGGAGCGGGCGCAATTCAACGCGCAATTGCGTCAATTGAGGGATCCTGTGCCTGGGGATAATATTGGGATGGCACTCACGGAAGCATTACACCAAGCCATTGAAACGGAACTCGGCCGTGAGCAGCGACCCGCCCATCATTTTGTCAATTTTGCCATTACAGCGCATGGGTTCACCCACGCCTACCAAACCGCTAATTTTACTGTGGGGGAATTTTTACAACGCACCGCTCGTTTGGATGAGATGTTGGCCACCTTGACGGGAAAATTAAACAGCAATGAAGCCTTCAACCCCGATCGCGGGTTCCAAGTGGATGTGGTGTTTGTGTCTATGCCCGGCCCAGGGTCTGGTCGACATAAACAACGCAATGTGGGACGTTTATGCCTGGATCGAGTCAACAAGAAAAAGCAATGCATTGTCACCATCCGAAACAGAGATACCCTATGCTGTGCCCGCGCCATTGTCACCATGCGTGCTCATTGCCATAAAGATCAAGGCGTGGACGGGTTTCGCGACTGGGACAATCTCAAACGTGGGATTCCTGTGCAGCAACGTCAAGCCCAGGCCCTCCATCTGCAAGCGGGAGTCGCTGAGGGTCCCTGTGGTATACCCGAGCTTCGTCAATTTCAACAAGCGTTGGGACCTCAATATCAACTCTTGGTGATGACCCGGATAAAACCGTTCTTTTTAATCTTCAAGGGCCCCACTGCCCCTCATCAGATTCGTTTACTCAAATCCAATCATCATTTTGACGGCTGCACGTCCTTTCCCGCCTTTGTCAATCGTTCGTATTATTGTGTGGACTGTGAACGAGGGTTCAACACCGACGATCGGACCCATCATACTTGTCAAGGGAGACGTTGCTCCGCGTGTGGGCGCTTTGATTGTCCGGATTATGTGCGTGGCACCCGCCCCACTGAGTATTGCAGTCTGTGTTACCGCAAGTTTTACGGCAGTCAATGTAAACGTTATCATGAAGTCAGTGCCCAATGTCAATCCATCAAAACGTGTCTCAAATGTCAAGCTCAATACACCGTGGTTCCCAACAAACGTCACCAGTGCGGGTACGCCAAATGCCCCGCGTGTCAGGAATGGGTACCCATCCAGGACCACAAATGTTACATTCAGCCCATAGTGGAACGCGAGGAGACTGAACCCACAGAGGAGGGGGGAGGTAGCATGGTGGCGCCACCCCCTCCCCTGTTTGTTTACGCGGATTTTGAAGCCATGCAGAATGCAGAAGGCGTGTTTGTAGCCAATTTGTTATGTTATTCGTCCAGTGCCGGAACAACCATCCATGTATTGGACGGGGAGGACTGTGCCCTACAATTTTTGCGTGATTTGGATGATCTCACAGACGTTCCAGACTGTGAGGCTGAGCGGGCTATTCTCGTGGTGTTTCACAATTTAAAAGGGTTCGATGGCATGTTTATTCTCCATGAACTCTACCAGCAACAACGCGAGGTGACAGACCAACTGACCGTGGGAGCCAAAGTGTTGTCATTCAGGAGTGGACCTATCAAATTCATTGACTCGTTGTGCTTCTTGCCTATGCCGCTGGCTTCCTTTTCCAGCACCTTCAATTTGACTGAGTTAAAGAAGGGCTTCTTTCCTCACTTGTTCAATACCCCCGATCATCAACAGTATGTGGGTCGCATCCCTGATCTGGAATTTTACGATCCTGAGGGTATGATGGCTAAAAAGAAAGACGAACTGACTCGTTGGCACACCGATCAAGTCCGTCGTAACCTGCCCTTCCATTTCAAGCAAGAAATGATTGATTATTGCAAATCCGATGTGGCTCTATTGAAAGCAGGGTGTGAAGCCTTTCAACAAGAATTCGAACAGCAGGCTGGCTTCAATCCTATGGCCAAGTGTTTCACCATTGCCAGTGCCTGCAATTTGTATTGGCGCAAGCATCATTTGACCCCCGACACTATTGCGGTGGAACCACTGGGGGGTTGGCGAGGGGCCCAAGTCAACCAATCCCTCAAAGCCCTGCAATGGCTCTATTACCAAGAACACCTCCTTCCCAAAGAAGGGGCCAGTGCTGACCGTATTCGTCACGTTCGTAATGGGGGCGAACAGTCGGTCCGAACAAGCGTCGACAGTTATTTCGTCGATGGCTACGATCCCCTGACTCGCACCGTCTACGAGTTCCACGGATGTCTCTATCACGGCTGTCCCCGCTGTTACCCCGCGAGAAACGTCAAACATTATGCAGTGCCGGACAGAAGCGTCGAGGAACTCTATCAAGCCACGCTTTCCAAACGCATGGCACTGCTCCGAGCAGGCTATACGGTGATCGAAATGTGGGAATGTGAATGGGACCAACTGGTGGACACGGATGAAACCGTCCAACATTTCCTGACGTCCTTTGATCTGGTGGCACCCCTGGAACCCCGTGAAGCCTTTTTTGGGGGTCGAACGGGTGCGGTAGCTCTGCATGCTGTGGCTGGAGAAGGCGAGGAAATACGCTATGTGGATGTGACCTCCCTGTACCCATGGGTCAACAAAAACTGCCCTTACCCCATTGGGCATCCGCGGATCATCACTCAGCCTGCCGACCAGTCCCTGGAATCCTATTTTGGTGTAGCCACCGTGGACATTCTTCCCCCGGCTGCATTGTTCCACCCCGTCTTACCCGTGCGCAGCGGCAACAAGCTCACCTTCCCTCTCTGCCGTGCCTGTGTCCAGACCGAGCAGGCCCAACCCATGTTGACCCGAACCTATTATTGCCCTCATTCTGACACGGATCGCACGCTACGCGGCACCTGGTGCACGCCCGAATTGGTCAAAGCTGTCGAAAAGGGGTACACGCTGATCAAGATTCACGAAGTCTGGCATTTTCCTCCCGAGCAACGCCAAACGGGTCTTTTTGCCAATTACGTGAACACCTGGCTCAAGTTGAAACAAGAATCGGCGGGGTGGCCCGGCTGGTGTCAGACCCTCGAGCAAAAACGCAACTACATTCTTCGCTATCAGGAACGGGAAGGCATTCGACTGGATATTGCCAGCATTGCCAAGAACCCTGGTCGCAAGGCCACGGCCAAGCTCATGCTGAACAGTTTCTGGGGCAAATTCGGGGAGCGGATCAACAAACCCACCACTGTCACTGTCAAAGACCCCGCCCATTTGTTCAATCTCATCTCCGATGCTGCCCTTGATCTCAGCACGCTCCGCCTTTGCACGGACGACATTCTGGAAGCTGTATACACCAGTGTCCAAGACAATGCTGTCAAAGGCACCAAGACCAATATCTTTGTGGCAGCTTTCACTACCTGTCATGCTCGATTGAAGCTCTACGAGTCCCTAGACACCCTTCAACAGCAAGTCCTTTATTATGATACAGACAGTGTGGTGTATAAATGGCGTCCCGGCCAACCCAGCATTGCCACTGGAGATTTTTGGGGGGATATGACGGATGAATTGGATGGAGACGTCATCACCGAGTTTGTTTCGGGGGGCGCCAAGAATTATGGGTACCAGACCCGTGGAGGCAAAGTGGTGTGCAAGGTACGCGGTTTCACGCTCAACGTCCGTGGATCCGCCATTCTCAATTTTCAGACGATAAAAGAGAATATTCTTTCGGAACTAGATTCGCCCCAGGACTCTCGCCGAAATTTAGACATTATCATCCCCTATTATTTCAAACGAGATTTAGAGGAAAAACAAATTCAAGTGGTTCCGCGCGTGAAGCAGTATGGGTTGGTGTTTGACAAGCGCGTCATTGATGTCGCCACCCGATCTAGTTATCCCTATGGCTACGAGCGGATTGGGGATGAACTCGACCTGCTATTAGATTTGTAATGGGCGTGACGTCACTAGGGCGTCACACACGTCCCGCTTGTACCCAGGGCTTTACGCGGTCATTAAAACTATGTCAAGAATGTGGATTCAACTCTTGTGTGCGTGTGTTCTTTATTCCATGGGGTCACGTGGACAATCATGCCCATATATGGGCATTTGTGACGTCAATAAGTCACATGGGCGAAATGCGCGATTCTGATTGGTCGAGACAAATTCTGCTGCGCTCTGATTGGTTACTACCTAGGTAGCCACTATGACTACTGCGGTCAATACTGACCAAGAACACGCAAGAGCATATTATCTTTTCTTTTTTTGTACAGAACAACATTTACTGCTGTACCAGTTTCTTCATTATCCAGTCAGTTTATGTTAACTGTTTAATGGTTATTCAGACCCCAGTTATATTGCCCAGTTTAGTGCCCTGGAGCACCTCATTTTGTAGATAAGAAAACGTATGATTTTAGAAATTGTGTGTATTAAAATAATGTGTTTTTTTCCCTACATCGTTTTCCGCTTTCCGACAGGTCGAGATGAACGTTCCCGTTGCACTAGCAATTTTACTCATGGTTTCCATGGCGATGGCCATGAAGTTGAGGAAACCTTACAAGTACAGATATGATCCAGAGCAAATGAATTACCAGGATAACGAGGTATTATTGATAAAGCAATTTTGATGGAAGGAGGTTATTATGAGGTTCCGCAAGTGAACATGGTAATATTTCACCAAGAGAGAATAATGGAACATTCACCTCTCTTGATTTCACTGATTTATTTCTGTTTTCATGACGTCTTCCTCCTGCCTATAGCACAGCTCCAATATTACATACTTAAATCACACAATCCATCCGGCTTAAAAGAGTCGTAAGAGCAGGTAAAAGTTGATCGAAGGATGAGGTTCAACCAGATCAGCCCACACAGAGATTATATTCCTTTCTATTGTACATTGCATTTCTTTTTTAACAGCTATCGCCATGAGAAAGGCAGAAAGAAGAAAAAGATGAAGCGTACTTCAAAAGAAACCCACTGCCATGCCCTGTTTGACGTAATCAGATGTACGGGTCGTGTTGCTCGCCAAGAACATGGTAAGTACTGACGAAAGCTTCAATTTTTATGGTTGTTATCTTTCCCGGACAACCCCCAGGACTAGTATACACTTTCAGGACCCTGCCGGAGGGGGTGTCTTGCCCGGGGAAGTGACAACAAAAATTGATTGATTAATAGGGTTCTGATTATGTCTGTTTCTGTCTCTTGTTACAGCTCTTCTTCTGGCTATTGCCAATAATAATGACCCAGAAGAACATGGAACTTTTCTGCTCAAGATCTCCAAGCATGTTTCTAGTTCCATTGAATATGTTATCAAAAACATCTGCGCCGTCTGAAGCAAACAAGGTTCTTTTTTCTTAGGGACATTTAGGTACAAAGTAAAACACAATCAAACGATAGCTGCATGAATCAGATATCTTGAAATGAATTTTGTCGAAGTAGCAACCGCAAGCCGCAAGTGCTCAGATGTCTTTAAATTTCGCCCGCGACTAAATTCTCATGCAACGTTGTCAGCCGGTTCAAAGCGATCAGCTGAAGCGATCGCGCATTGTTTAAACTTCATATTTTCAAACGCAAAAGTCTGCAACGTATTTGGCTCAAAACCTCGAGGAAAAGCGATCCACGGGCATCCGTCTTAAATAATCCGCTCTATAATGGGAAGATTTGTGCTTATGTTTGAAGAAATTCCAAGTCTAACTTTGACAAGGGTCGTTTGCCATACTGTAGATACTACAAAAACCGTGATTTTCAATGTTAAGAGTCTGCACCTAATTCTCATTTATTTCACCTAAAATTAAACAGAAAAGATAGATTAATCCTTCGACTTTAAGACTTCGCTCTATAATATTAAAAAAATCATCTTTTTATGTTCGGAAATGACGATTTTAGTCACTCTGCTGTACCAAAGTCGCCCGTTTTCCCTATTATTATGCCGCTTTCAAGGTGCATTCATGCTCGAATAGTACGCCACGATGGCTTATTCATAAACGTAAAAGTCCGACCATTTCTTCCGATGCGGGTACGGTCCACCCTGGCACAATTGTACCGATTATTGAACCAATTTTCCTCATAGGTAGAAAACGAGATGTAAGGAAAACATTTCGGAAAATATGGAGGTTGATATTAGAGGTCATATGTGGGTAAACAAATTATTTCCTCGCCTATTGCGACACCAGAAGTCAGTTTGTAGCATCAGGTGATTCTTGGTGTTCATTGGTGAGTTGTGTTTCACTTTGTGCTTGACTATCTCTGAGTGAAAATGAGGCAGCTTTTATCAATGTAACCGCGTGAGTTAATTTTTCTCTTTAAGAATCAATAAAGAGCACAAGGCAAAAAAACGCTATAAAAAGGATAAAATGCTACAGTTTTTCGCCGTTTTACAGCTAATGTCTATTCCGACTGTCTCTTGGAAATTATTTTCGATCCATGAAAACAGCAACAACAACAAAACAATGATAAATCATCGGACACATTGCTAAACTCTCTTCAGATAACCATTCATATTCCAAGTGGCGTTGTACCTGTGTGAGTTAAAAAAAATGCAAAGTAAGGTGGACGAAAGATAAACTACAACGACATAGATTGTGAATGGTTAACTAATCCAAGAGATTATGAAATCTGTTTATCAGGTCCGCAACGGTTTCAACATTGACTCATGTAATTAACCTCACCGCTGCACGAATCTATATACAGTCAACTCTTTGATCTCTCTTAATGGACACTTCTATAAGACGGACGCGTGGTGTTAATCCCTGCCGTTTTGTCGTCATTTTACTGCAACTGAACTCTCTATAAGACGGAAACCTCTCTAAAACGGACAACAGATACTTTGGAAACCGTCAAAGGACATTTGTGCTTTATGTAGTGAAGAATACCTCAGTTAAATTGGAAATGTAGGTGCTTGATAAGACCGTACCTAACTTACGATTTAAGGAAGCATACAAGTCGAAGTATGTGACTCCTATATTAATGGCGTTTTATTCAATACTGTTATAATGATTTCAGTTTCCAACCAATCTTCTGTTATTAGAACCATAATTTTCGTTTTCAACCACAAACGCCTACCGGAGACACTACTCATAATGCATGGTGAGCTCAGTTCTAAGCCGTTAACATTTGGTTGTAATAAGCTTTTGATTCTACTCTGATTGAGAAATGATCCCCTATATAACCCAGACAGCACTCTAAGACGGAGAACCAAAGCTGATCCCGACCATGCCCATTTTAGAGTGAGTTGAATATAGTATAAATAGGGGAGTCCCCCCACAACCGTACGGTCCCGCACTCAACAAAGGTTAATTAGGTTATGCTCTGCCCCCAGGTTTAAACCCTTATCCTTTTAAATATACCATCTCTGATCGAAAAGGTACCTCTTTTGTATATCTTTCATTGACAACGGGGATCCCGCCCACATATCTACTTAAGAGCACTGCATCTCTTTTAACTGCTGTAGCTTGCTGGTCTTTTTATGTAGTAAATTGCGAAAAAAGAAAGTCTGCTTTCGTAATCTTCAGACAGCACCTGAGCTTAATGACGAACGGGACTTAATCCTGAGGCAGCAGGTCGAACTCCCAAATATCTCTAAACACGCACTACACAAATACAGCGCCGCTTGCAGTACTCTTACGTCAAACAATTTCATTTTACTGGAGGAAAAATGGGGTTTAAGTAGGCCTGTTTGCTTCTACAAAACCACACGAGCTTCCAGCGATTAGAAAGAAAACCACCAATGCAGACAATTTTGGTTCTTACCCGACGAAATCGGTGTATTTCTGATCAACAACATATCTATCGGAACGACCAGTCAAAAAATTCCTGAGTTCATTCATCTTGCTTGGACCAATCGTTTTATAACAACGCTTCTTCACAAGACCTTGCCCTGCCCCAGGAGCCAGAGGATTCGAATCTTCAACACAGATATAGTCGCCAGGTTCAATGAACTTATCCAAATACTCCAACACTCCAACCAAGTTCGCGTGCGCGGCTTCCATCACGAGCCAAGAATGATGCAAATTCTGTTAAATAATGTGACATCTTTGGAAATACTGTTGTTAACAATATAATCATCAAGGAAAGCAAATTTGGTCATCTTTTAAAATGTGCATGCCGTGGTTTAATAGACCATTTTGCAGTTGCGGGTGGAAACGAGGCTCGAGTTGCCCCTTTTTTTGTGCAATCCTTCCCGCTTTATTATATAAATCGTGTTGTTCTTAATCAAGTGCTAACAGGTATTTTTTAAGCATAATTTCGATAAGGAAACTGGAAAGAGGTTTGTATCAAAACAAGGTCAACCTCAGCCTCACGTTCACTCAAAGACTAGGATACTAAGCTCACAACTGTAAAATAGTCTATTGCCTCCTTATTCCATTTTCTGGACATGATTATGAATGAAAATGAATGTCAAACAAAAGGGATTATAATTTGATTTACCGTTCAGTAAGGATGTTATTTCACCTCAACAGTTACATTCAAAATCAGATGACAAAAGAAAACGTCCCTTTCGATATGTTAAAATGATATAGACGAGGAATAATTCCAGCTGCTGTAGAATGAATTTTAATGTTTGTCAACACTACAGAAGACGCCAAAATGTGGTAAAACATCATTGACACAATTGCCTGCGGCTCGTGTGTCACTTTTTTGGTTTTTACCACATTTTGAAGTCATCTGTGATCTATTACTGCACAGACGCAGGGCAACATGATATCTATTTGTCAAACAGAAACAATTTACCAATTCTGTTAGAATTATCCTTGTTTCTCAGATTAGAAAAGCCGATTTTTCGTGGTAACTTAGGTTGGCAACATTGGGGTCGAATGACACTGTTTACAAGAACACGTTTCTACAGTTAGCGTATCCACGAGTTAAAAACCAACCATGATTAGTTTAAAGTAGTACACATGGCAGAGCAAAAGATAGCGCACCGTTTCGTTAACTTACTTCCAGAAACGTGCGTGATAAAACTTTCTCTACTTGAAATGAGTCGCCTTGAATGAACTCCACATCCGAAGACTTGCGAGCTTCAGCATCGAGTAAGGACAGGTCGATGTCAATAGATACAACTCGAGACTGACAACCGAACAGCTTTAACAGGTCCGCTATCCACAAAGCGGAGCCTCCTTTATAGGCGCCAAACTCAATAACAGTTCGAGGCTTTAGTTCCCATAGCAACTGTTGGAGAATCGTTTAATCCAAGGGATCTTTCAAAAGTGATACTCCACGCCAAAAGGTTTGATATTTTCCTGAAAAAAAATACGCGAGATTGATGAGTTTAAGTGTGAAGCACACTAAGGAAGGCAAGAAAGTTAAATTCCAGGCCCAAACGGTGTTTCTTAGAGATCAGCTACTTGAGGTCACAGTTAAAACGTGAACTTTATTGGTCAGCAAACACATAATGACCAATGTAACTATTTCGCATTTTCTTAAATTTTTTATATCAAACTGAAAATTTTTAAAGCTTAAACGGGTAATAAGAAATTTCGCTCAACTTAAACCGACCTACTTTATTTCACCGATAAAATCTAAAAGAACATGGATGACAAAAAGATATCCGTGATCGTCCTTCTGGACATGTGTCTGGAGAATTGGCTGTCCACTCTGCGTGCGACTTGTCTGAAAATGAACTTCCTTTAACAACGGAGCCAAGCTTATTGTGTCTCTGAACTGCACCCGTTGACTGTGGGTGTACCACAAGGTTCCATCCATTGGCCAGTTTTATTAATTGTCAAGGCAATGGGTTGCGTGGACGACAATGAATCTAACGTTTTCAAATCTTTGTCAATATATAGTAAATTAGAAAAAATGCTAGTTATGGAGGAGTTACATATCTGATAATTGTTAATCAAAAAGAGTAGTGGGCCAGTAGTAGTGTTACACAAGATAAAATATAGTGGTCTACCGTATCAAATGCTTTGCTCAGATCTAAACAAACTTCGCAGAAAAAAAATAACTTCTGAGCCACTGTATTTTTCATTTTATTTTAATGGGGTTTTTTAACGAATCAAACAAAGGGGAGAAAAACACAAAGACACTGGGTTAGCGAAATAAACCACATCAATGCTGCCTGATTTGCCTCACCTGACTAGACGGACCCTGAGCAATCGGACTCTTCACCTCGCCGGGTCTCGAACGACGCTGTACTCTGTTGCCGAATTCTTAAAACTAGTTTGGGGTCCCGCCCCCCTTGAAAATGAATTCACAATTTGATGATTCTGAAATAATTTAGCGGCTGCTCGCTCTTTTAAAAGACACCACATATTTCTCAAGTAACCAGTTTATTTTCATAGACGTCAGCTGTACCTCAAAAGACGTATGCCTGATAAGACCAGCTTCTGGCGACCTTTCAAATAAGATAACGTGTCCCAGATTTAGTCAGAAATCATTGTAGGAAGAAAGAAAATGGAAGAAATGTCAATAGAAACTGAAAGAAAAGTCAGATACAAATGAATGACAGACTGATGGGTAAAGAAAGAAAACAGAAAAACAAATTAAGAAAAAGCAAGGGACGAAGCATAAAAGTTTGCATTTAAGGTAAATGATATTTAAAAGAAATATTTCTGATCACTAATATGCATTTAGACAGCTCGCAAGGCTACATCCTCTACTGTAGCCTGCGTAGAAGGCGCTTGGAAGTAGTGGGCACAAGAAGAAATGGGCGCGCGAGAGGGATACACGCGTGTCTCCCTTGCACGCGCCCGTTCTCTCTTTCGCCCACTACTTCCAAGCGCCTGCTACGCAGGCTACCTCTACTGGTGAAGTTTTTGTCAAATCAGGCAACCCAAATATACATGGCATTTGTTCCCTTTTCATAAGGTATTACCATGACTTATTGTAGAAATGACATCAAGAGCTAACACTCCAGTATCCTGCCTTTCTTCTATTGGGGCAAATCTGTCTCTAGTGCTTAATTCCGCTATAACCTCCGCTTCAAGTGTGTGGTAGTTTATCGCTACCTTTGAATCAGCCTCCATAATGACCTGTAAGGATTACAATGAAAAACAACTTAAGTAAAAAAATACTCCTACCGTGAAGGAGCCGTAAGTGAGGTTGCGGTTGCTCGATACAGCTTTTTTGTAGCGACAACTTGAATTGAGTGTAGCTAAATGTCGAGGGTCGTGGGTAGTGGGTAGAGGTCGTGGGTCGTGGGGCTGGGTCGTGGGTCGTAGGTGTGGGTAAAAAAAAAGTATTAAAAAAAAGATAAAGTAAACTAATTGAAAAAAAGAAATAAATAGAAAAAAGTTGTAAAATATTTATAAAACGAAAATCTCCAACTCCTTTATTGCCTTTTTCGTCACGGCTTCTTCTTCGTCCTCTTGCTGATATTTCCTTAGCTACATGGGACTTTGCTCCCTTTTCACAACATCAATGTATAAAAGACATGTTGCCAATGAAGATTTATCCATACCTGAGCTATCGCCGCGAAATAAACGAAACGGACGTAAATTATACCTGAAATTTGCAAAAAGTATGGGACAGCTCAGACTAGCTGAATGGACATAGCTGCTCACTATTAATCTTTATTCGGTCTACAAATAAGTGATCAGCGGAGATTTTTTAACACGATCAATGCGGAATGCAATCGACGTGAGAATGGGTAGGGAAAAAGGACAATTTTGAGGTATTTCATATTTTTGGATAGAAGTCTTTCTTAAAGAAGTTTTAGGTCTTAGCTCTTACCTTACGAAGGAACCAGCTTCATTCCCTATGACATTCTTCAAGAACAAAAACGTTTTTATCGAGAGTTATACAAAAGTTCAAATAGTGATGCGGAAAACCGTCAGAACATTGTAAAGTTTCTAGAGAATTTGAATATACCTCAATTAACCGAAGAACAAAAGTTGACCTGCGAAGGCAAAATTTCAGCTGAGGAATGTTACAATATCCTCGAAAGTTTTCAAACCAACAAAACTCCCGGGAATGACGGAATTCCTATAGAATTCTACAAAGTGTTCTGGCCTTTAATAAGCGATCCTTTTCTTAAATGCGTGAACGAAAGCTTTGAAAAAGGTGAAATGTCTTGTTCTCAAAAACAAGCGGTAATTACTCTAATAGAAAAAAAAGGAAAAGATCGTTCATATATTGAGAACTGGCGTCCAATCTCTCTCGTAAACGTTGACACAAAAATTATGTCTAAAGTGATCGCCACTAGAATTAAAAATGTTCTTCCAGATATTATACACCATAACCAAACTGGATACGTGAAAGACCGATATATCGGCGAAACAATTAGATCAGTTTTCGATATTATGGATTTCACTGCAAAAGAAAGTATTCCTGGACTAATGATATTTATTGATTTTGAAAAGGCATTTGATAGCGTAGAATGGGAATTTCTTCTCTATTGTTTGAAATCCTTCAATTTTGGCCCTAATTTCATCCATTGGGTTCAAACGTTCTACAGAAACATACAAAGCTGTGTGATAAACAACGGACTCTCATCTGAATACTTTAATCTTGAACATGGGGTACGGCAGGGGGACCCGCTCTCTCCTTACCTCTTTGTAGCTACTATAGAAACATTAGCAATTGCGATTCGACAAAATAAAGATATCAGTGGTATCTCTATTGGGAGTGAGGAGACAAAAATTCTTCAATACGCAGATGATACGACAGCAATACTTGCCGACACAAGCTCTGCTACTGCTCTTTTTAGGCTGTTAGATGATTTCAAGATTGTCTCTGGCTTAAAGATTAATTGTTCCAAAACGGAAGCTATGTGGATAGGTTCTTCAAGGAACTGCAAAGCACAGCCTTTTGGAATTAAATGGCCTAACGAACCGATAAAGGCTTTAGGAATTTATTACACGTATGATCAAAAATTGCTTCTTGAAAAGAATTTCATAGAAAGATTAGACAGTATTAAAAACCTGACTGGAATTTGGTCCTCTAGAGGACTTTCTATTTATGGCAAAATTACACTTATCAAATCTCTATTAATCCCGAAATTTGTTTATGTGTCATCTTTAATACCTACCCCAAAAGAATTTGTAAGTCAGTTAAACCAGTTATTATTTCAATTCTTATGGAATGGTCGTGATAAAGTCACACGCAGATCGGTGATAAATGAATACTCCAACGGAGGATTAAAGATGATTGATTTTGATAGCATGATAATATCGCTTCGATTGGCATGGCTAAAAAGAATAGCTAGCTCAAATGATGGCACCTGGAAAAGGTATCTGACACATCATCTAGAACGCTTTGGCGGCCTTTTCTTGTTTCATTGCAATTATGATGTTAGTATCCTTCCACTGAATATTTCTCTATTCTATCTAGAATTACTGCAGTGGTGGTCAGAATTTAGAGATACGTTCTCTTCAGAAAAAGACTGGCGTTATATTCTTTGGAATAACAAACAAATACTCATTAATAATAAAACAGTTTATTATAAAAGCTATTTCGAAGCTGGTGTAATTCACATCAGCGATCTATCCTTTGACTTAAATAACAAAGATTCCTTTTCCTTAGTTTCTAACAAGATTTCTAAAACTAATTTTTTAGTTTGGGCAGGTCTTCGACACTCCATCCCTTCCATTTTAAAAATTTGTACTCATAAATCAACAACAGGTGAACTTTCTCTAAAAATTGACGATAATATATTTGATGTCACAAAGAAGAAATCTAAAGACTATTATACTTTACTTGTAAGCAGAAAGGCTCTCTTTCCAACTAATGTAAACAAGCTGCAAAATGAATTTCATTTCACACTCGAGGAAGCTAAACAAATTTTTATGATCCCGCATAGTGTTGCTCTTGAAGCATATGTTAAGGCATTTCAATACAAAATTCTTAACTCCATTCTCTATACTAATGCTAAACTTTACAAAATTGGCTTTAAATTGAATGACTCGAGCTCATTTTGTTCATCTGAACCAGAAACGCTATATCACTTCCTATATCTTTGTCCTTTCTCGGTAGATTTCTGGCGTGACTTCGAAGTATTCTGGCACCAACTTTTAAAGGAAAACATTCGACTTTCGTTGCAAGATGTTTTAGTTGGAATGATACGACAAAACTCCCCTTCTGCTAAGCTTCTAAACTATCTAATTATGATTGGGAAATTGTATTTGTGGGATTGTAGAAGAAGTCAAATTCTTCCGAATATATATGGATTTAAAAAGAAAATTGCTGTAAAATATGAAACGGAAAAATATATAAGTCTGCATAGTAAAAAAACAAAGGATTTCTTTGAAGCTAAATGGATAGTGTCGCCTCTTGTAAATGCTTAACTATTTAAAGGTTTTAATATGCATCCACTTTCTGTATGTAATTAATATATTATTTACATTATATTTTGTAACCATTTCTAGTTTGTTTGAATATCAGTGTTAATTTGTTGTATTATATTATTAGTATTAGTAGTATTAGTTGTAACATTATAATTATGTAGGTAAGTAACTAATTTGCTGTATTAATATCAATTTGTTTCAATAAAGAATTATATATTAAAAAAAAAAAAAAAAAAAGCTTCATTCCCAACTTTTCAAGTTAAGGCGAAATTGTATGTAAATTTTATTGCGGTACCGAAATACAATTTTCTCTATTCTTTATTTGGTTTGTGTACTGTTTTATGTAAAAAATCTTTGCTCTAACGATTCAAAATATCATTCCTTAGAATGAAAGGACGTTTCAGTCACGAATGCTGACAACTTTGACAAAGAGCAGTTTACATAGTGTACAGAGTTTCTTTTATTTTTCGCCTTAATGCCTTTGCCAGCTAAAGGATTCGCTTATTTGTTTTGCTGACCGTGGCGAAGAGGAATAGGACTGGTATGTAAGCGGAGGTTTTCCCTATTCCCTATTGTTGAAACGGTGAACAGTGAAAACAATGAAATCATTCCGTGTTAAATAGGAAAACTGACTGCTGCACTGGATAGAAGCCCAGCGTAATGCGAACATCAGTCCCCGTTTATTCATACAAACACAAACACTTAGGTAATGCAAAGGCAGTGAAGTAGAAAAAGTGTAACAAGTTCCAAGTAAAGTTCTTTGATCAATAATAAAGATGATATGGTGTCTGCTGCCCGTCAGGAAAAAACCCCCTTCACTAAGGAGGAAACCTGAACCCTCCCGAAAGCAGAGCCAGACACTTAACATGAACCTCGAGGGAGAGAGGTTGAACTAGAATACAGAATTATGAGTACATCATCCACCAACGGAAATAAATTCAAATGACACAAAAAGAAAAAAGCATTGACAAACGAAACTCAGGCAGCGATGTCAGCTTAGAATGATCACCTCAGTAAAATCCCGCCCCTTTATACATGAGTCTCCGTGACAGCTGTCAATAAGCTGGAACCGTGAAAACAATAATTTGCTGCTATTCTTAGAACCGCAGCAAATAACAAGTTTTCCCTATTCCCTATTGTTGAAACGGTGAACAGTGAAAACAATGAAATCATTCCGTGTTAAATAGGAAAACTGACTGCTGCACTGGATAGAAATACAAAGAACGGGAGTGAAAATGTAACTAAAATCAAATTCCTAGAGATTTGGTAACTAGTAAGCGATTATCAAGAGAATCTTCTACATAACCGTCCTTGGCGGTCTCTGAACGCCATCTACCATGGCGTTTCCAGCATCTGTCTAAGACTTGTGCGTTGGCTGCTGTAGTAGCTCCGCCTGATCTGAATGAGTGCAGGCTTATGTTGGCCGTATTGGGCACAAATTCGCGCAACAGCTTAACTAGGGATTCCCTTGCGCGGGTATAACTGAGAGGTTTTACTTTGTCTATAACTTTATATCTGGATCTAACTTTGAATATAGGTTTGAACAAAAAATCTGAAACCTTAGATGTACTGATGTCTATTAATTTCATGTACCTTTCTAGATTTGACACAGGACAGGTAACCTTGCCGGATCTACTGATCACCACTTCATTCCCCTTACGATATTGATCAGTCTTACTATGGGACACTTTGATGGTTAAATGAGTGTCGATTATGCTAATGTCACCGATAGTAAGGTTTGCTAGTTCACTGAAACGGAAGAACCCCGCAAATAACAGTAAGGCCATAGAAATGTCCCTACGTATAGGCATTTCATCGGAATGCTCATGTTTAATACAACACGCTGTGAGGGCCTCCTTTGAAATGGGAGATTTCTTCGAAGTGGGTTTGGCATTTTGACGCTTGGCCCCTTCCACCATATTTTTGACAAAGGTGCTACTCATAGGATTGGGAACCCCCGCAAAATCATGAGCCCATTTTAAAGCACAATAACTAGATTCAATCACAGAGGCTGATACCTGAGAGGTGGCCAAGTGGCTAAAAAACAGAGCTGCATCAACCACGGAGACAGGGAACACAACTAACTTGTTAGTATTAGCAAACTTAACCCAACGATTTAAAGAACTTGTATAACTAACTACTGTTCCACAGGCTTTGGATGAAAGGGCTGTTTGCTGCAACCCTTTAAATAGTTCAACAGAAGTAACTCCTCCATGACTGGATTTCAAACGGTCTTGAATTTCTTTCCATGGACCTTGGCTGAAAATATTCAGACCTGTAAGAAAGAAAATAGACTGTGTGTGATGTGATATAGCATTACATATTTGTGTAAAACTATAAGCAATTAACCAGTATTACAATGATGTTAAGATAGCGCTACCAATAGCTTAAAGCATATTAGTATATAATGTATCGTCTCTCAACTTGGTGTGACGTCATCCATGGACTCCTAACTTCAATGCCACCTGTAAACAAGTAGTACCTTTCCTATGAAGAGAGGTAACATAAAATTGTATGTTCTTTAATTGCCACCTGTGGGCAAGAAAATGCCACCTGTGGGCAAGAGAAGGCCACCTGTGAGCAAGGAAGAGCCACCTGTGGGCTTATTGCTGTACGAATACCCGCGGAAATACTATGTATATATATCAATATTAGCTTAACCTTTGGTACAGTGTTCACACAAACCTTTCACTGACAAACAAAACCCCCTATCACTGTGGCCTTTGCGCACAGACTGCCAATTAACATACAATGCTATAAGTTTAAACTCCAGCTTTTCACCGTGAAACAAAGAATTGTAAGACCTGCCCTTAGTCGTAGCAGCTAAATGGAATTCAGGTACTCCAACCCAGTCAATCACGCACTTAGAAAGATGGGTGCCATCTGGGCAAATGCAGGGCCAGAACGAAGCCCCTTTCCAAAGGGGTATTATGAGTACTCCCTTAGCTCTGCACAACTCAAAGTGACGCCATGCCCTGATTATTTGGCTCGGAGGGGGTACCACCCAATTGTTTTCTCCCTGCCAATTTTGAATAAAGGCATCAACGCCTTCAGACCCTGGGTTCCAGAAGCGGGAATTGAACCTAATGCATTTAGTGTTGTACCATGTGGCAAACCTATCAACTGTGAAAGGACCCCACAAGGTGTTAAGCCACTGAAAGATATCTGAATGTATGCCCCAATCATCGACATCAGTGAGTTTGCTGAGATAATCAGCAAGTTGGTTGTTATCCCGTGGGACCCAGACTGGGATGACTGAAACCCTGTGATTGTTGCACAAATTTACAATTTCTTCAGCCAATGTTTGGAGGTCAGGTTTAGTACTGCCTCTGTCGATTATGCGCGTCACATTTTGATTGTCAGTGTACCACTGTACTTTGTGTCCTGTGAGGATGTGTCCAACGGATGATAACATATAATAAACAGCTCTGAGCTCTCGCCAGGTGGAGCTCTTTCTTTTTTCATCAAGGGACCACTGTCCCTGGCATACTAAATTTTGCTTGTCGGAAATGACATAACCTCCATACCCAAGTTGGGAAGCGTCTGAATAAACAACAGAATCAAAGACTTGGGTTTTGTCAAAAAGGTCTCTACCATTCAGCTGACTCACGTTATTGTGCCAAAACTGAAGCTCATTTATCACCCTTGGGGAGCAGGAAATGAAAGAATCCCAAGAGTCCCTAGTTTCTATGGTAAGGTACATTTGCCTAGTGTACAAATACACAGCGGAACCAATTGCTTTGTGCATAGATATTATGCGACCCGTAACTTCAGCTAAGCGTCTGGCCGTAACCTTGTGGGGGTTTGCGAGAACAGATGAAATGGATTCCCTGAGATTGGACACCCTGGTGTCGGTTACGTACAAGCGATTTTCAGACATATTAAGAATATAACCTAACCAAGTCTGAATAAGGGATGGATTCCAAACACACTTGTCTGCACTAAGAAGGAAGCCTAATTTGGCGAGATCTGCTCTTACTGCTATGGCATCCGTGGAGGCAGACTCGTTACAAGAATTGCCACCTAGGCCGTCATCCAAAAACATGCAAATTCTCCTGCCTGCGCTTCTCCAATAATTAATTACAGGTTTCAACACCTTGGTGAATATGTAAGGTGCGGTAGACATACCGAATGGTAGTACGTTAAAAACAAAATAAGTTGGTTTGCCCTGATATGGCCATTGGAACCCAAGGTAGGTCCTATGGCTGTCAAAAATTTCAACATGATGATAAGCACTTTTGATGTCGAATGTATACAAGTAATATCCTTCCCCTAACAGTTGTTGAGCAGTACTGATGTCTTCGCATTTGAATTTGTACTTGAAAAGATGAGGGTTTACGTGTCTTAAGTCGAGCACAAGGCGTTTCTTCCCCTCGGCCCGCACGGACACGGTTAAAGGGTTCACTACCCATGGTGGACTGTGGACAATTGAAATACAATTGGCAGCTATAAGATCCTCTAGAGCCTTGATGACAAAACAAGCATTATCTATGGCGGATTTGTTATTCGACAAAATGCATGACTCAGGAATAGTAAGCAGTGGTAATTTGTAACCCTCTGTAATAACACTCAGTACCGAGCTAGGGGACCCTATTTCCTCCCATGCTGAAAAATGAGATTTTAACCTCCCGCGAACACTTTCTTTTCCACATTCCAGCTCGGAAAAATCTCCCTTCGCGGGTGTTGCAAAAATACATGAATCTATGGGATCATCGAAAAACTCTGAAAATTCGGAATTCCCTGACACGGGTTCTACATCATATAGATCATAAAAATTAGCACTTAACTTCTTTCCTTCTTGTACTCCGGCAACCGCCAAC